CTTTCAATTCTTATTTGTAGCTTCTTTGTACTTGTGACGCTCAAGAGATGGAGAACCAACAACCAGCAGATTCGACTCAAGAGCCTGCATTTACTGACTATGCAAATGAGACATTACGATTGTCTCAACCTTCAAGACGATGCAATCGAGATGTAAATCTTCAAGAACGACATAGATGGCAAAATAGATGGCGAAATACAATGCATTTGGTATCACGACTTTAGAAGGGACTCCCGATGTTTGGTGATTTTACTAGAGATAGGAACAACTCCTGATGGTATTTCAAATGTTTTATTCGAAGGAAGTTATGAAGGCCTCAATAATGATCAAATAACTGGGTGGTCTTCCCGCCCTGGTATAGAACACTACCGATGGTTGAGAGGCCCTATCAATCATCTTTGAAGAGAACAAAGATCAAAGTATATGACAAATATAATTTGTCGCATCATAGATTTTCTCAACATATGATTACCGCTCCTTGTGGAACTCATCCGTAGAAAGGAGAGGGGGGATGTCATGGACATATGCATGTAAGCCAATAATTACATATATAAATAGGTAGAAGTAAGTAAAAATAGATAAAAGTAAGTTAATTCTATAATGTTTGGTATGGAAGCTTTCTAGAAGCTTCATAGATGCTACTTTGACTTTATAGATGTCTTTAATTGACTTTTTGGTATTAGAAATGTGGTCAACAAGTTGGCCATGTGCCACACATATTGTTAGCTTGAAGACCAAGCTAACTATGTAGTCCACACGTAGAAAAACTTGCCTTGTAAGTTAAGGCATGTGTCCTACAAAGTTAACACATATTGGAGGTCTTATAGAACATCGCCACATAGCCCCTAGTTAGATAGTATATATAGAGACAAGAGTGAAGTCTTCTTCACTCCTGTCAACTCCATTCTTGCTTCCAGTCTAGTTTGAAGGGTCTTTAGTTTTGCTGTAATTTGGTAATAGCCATTCCAGTTTCTTTTTCAATATACATATCAAGTTATTTCTATTTTGTCATCTTTCTATGAGAGAAGTCTTACTTGTTTATTAATCTTTATCATATTCTTGTCCTTGACACAAGCACATGAAAAATTATTGCATGATGATTTATAATAAACTCTTGCAAATAATTCTTGTTAAAATGAACAAAAATAGTTTTTTTAATATTATTTTTATATATTAAAGTACTTTTTAATAAAATAAATAAATTAAAAAACTTCAAATGTATAAAACTGAAATCAAATTTATTAGAAGTAAGTAAAATGATATTCAAATTTATAATTTTAAATATATATATATATATATATATATATAGATATACTTAATTCATCAACAGATTGAAACAGATTTTAATAGAAGTTGTTGGTGCATACAAAATTATTCTATTCAAAGGTATTGTAATACTATATCTCTCATCTGATGTATACATTACATGATAATCAAAAAATAAGTTACATGAAGGCAACACTTAAAAATTTATGGTTAGATTTTTTTATTATTTGATAGACAATAGATATTTATATTATTATGTTGGATGTTGAAAATATTTGTGACTATCAATATTACTAGGTATTCATGATTCTAAATACTAACCTCTGTTTAGCCAAAGTCTTTTACAATTAATAGCCTATATATATATGGATTAATTGAGTTTAAAAACCATCATTTTATAGTTTTCCTACATTAATCATAGGAAGAAAATGGCTAAGCTCTTTCATTTTGAAGCTCATTTTAGATTTATTTATCAATTTTCTCAAATAATTTATGTAGTTTACGACTATAAGCACTTTGAAACTATATGTCTCAATTTTTTCTAATATCAAAATAGGGATGAAGAAAAGTTAATGAAAAGAATTAGTTTCAAATTATAGACCAAAACTGCATGCAATATATTTCACTCTATTTCTCGTGATGTCTAGAAAACCTCTCTCATTTCATGAATTTTAAGATCTTCTCAAACACAACCAATTTTCTTCTATATAACACAAAAAAGGAACACACTGTATGTCTTTGAGTGACACAGTTGTTCTTTTCACACCACTATTGTATAACTTGTGTTATTGTGAACAGAGACAAAATACATTGGTTGATTTAATCAATTATTTGTATGTAGAGAGATGAGGTAGTGCATGGAATTGTCAAAGCTAGAAATAGATCTGGAGACAAGTGCAGGCCATGCAATTGAAATTTGTGGATTGCAAACTATTTTATTTGCATTGCCCACAAAAGGCAAACAATTATTTGCCAATCTTTACAGGAAATCTAAAAATTTGTGGACAATGTAATGTATTTAACAGGTTGTATCATTTCGGCCTTGAGCATGAGTCTCCATACAATGACCACTTAAATATACAAAAAAAGATATGTATGATCATGTGATAAAAACAAAATGATTTGTATGTTTATGTGTGTATTATTATATCTGTATCTATATATGTATTTGCAATATTTGGTATGCAAAATAGACCTCAGAGTTGGACATGGTTCATGTTATGCTTTTACATGTTTGTCAATACTCACACCATGGCTAAGAATTCATTCAGTTTAGTGTGATGTATAGAAACCATTCAAATAGTCTTCTTTCTCATATTCTAGAGGATATTAAAACAAATGTTAGTTTATTCTTGTGTGCTATGCATTTGTGCACTGTGGATGTTATTATTTTTAGCTCCATAATGGTGCTTTATCAATTCCACACAATAAGCAAACACTCCCGTGGATTGCATTGAGTCTTGTTTGAGTTCTTTCATTGTCTGGTTGCAATCAAATAAATAAAAAGGAACAATTATAGAACTGAAAATGAGAATTTTCATTTTTCTTCTAGATAAATACAATTAATTTTTTACATACTGTCATGTTGAGCACAGGTTTCAAAAATCACTACCCAACACATTCCATGCACTCCAGTTCCATTATCAAGGATTATATATTAGTTTTTGATCAGTTTTAAGTCTAAACATGAAACAAAAGCTTCAAATATAGAAATTTTGGTATCCTCTGTAAACAAAAATAAAGAACAAGATTAAAGGAGAGGCAGTAAGTAAGTTAGTAGCCTGAAAAATAAGGAAACTGGCATTTTTCATCACCTTTTTTACTATTGAAAAAAAAAAACACATAAAAGATATTGAAATTCATTTTTCAAATATACACATATATATATAGGGAATTGCTAAAGCAACACCTCCATGTAGTTAACACAACACCCTCACAGGTTCTCATAATTAATTTAGTTTATCCTTTTTTTTTTTTATCTCCTATCTCTAGTTCAACTTACATATCTCCCATTCCTGTTCTCATAACAAAGAAAATGATATGCAACATGCAAAGCAATTCATGTTTCTTACTTGGAAAACAAACTAGTTCAAGGTTATTGTTGCCACTCACAATGATAAGGAACAAGAACAAAATTAATCATTAGAACCCAAGGGGTGATGCATTAACAACATGCAGGTGTTGCTTTAGCAAATCCATCTCTCTCTCTCTCTCTCTCTGTATGTATATATATATATATATATATATATGTACACCCACATTTACATGCACATTCACACATATCTTTCCTCCTCCAATGAATGATGCAATGGAAAACCTCAATATGCCCGCACGAGTTGGTGGGCCTTCTTAACATCATGAAGAAAGAGCAAAAAGGGCTCTTCTGTAGGCATGGCTTGGGCAGCATCATCTTGCTCATTATTCCATTGGTGACATGCATGCTTGTTAGGTTAACACAAAAACTTCAATCATTTGATGCCTCTTTAGTAGGCAGATATCATTGAGATTTTAACAAACTGCAAAGGGTGGATATCATCCTTTAGTTGCATTATTGGTTTACAAGTCACAATTCACAAACTCCGAGTTTATTCCTGGCTCATCACATGGGGTCAGTCACATGTGATAGTAAGCTCAAGCAGGCAAGGGCAGAACTGAAGTACACAGTTTCGGGTGGTGATGTACACAAGCAAGAGTTGCACTCAAAACAGCTCTCTTACCACTGGAGGGCCCCCCTCCACAAGGCAAATTCCACAGCAGTCCACACAACCATTCTGCTGATGGATCTAGCACACATTAGTCCACATCCTTGGATCACTTGGATGTTCTGGTTAACCAGGACACATGGGCACATCAGGTCATAGTCTGGACCCATCAGCGCACGGGCACCTGTGCCCGTGCTCCTCTCACTGACCTGTTTCCACCTCCAGCTTCCCCGTCCCTGGAAACGACCTCGGTGACCGTTTGTCGTAAATGTACATGTGTATACGTTTGGATTGGTAGTGAAATTATCCACCGAAGTTCAGTTAGAATGCGCACCAATAATGGACGAAAAAACTTCTCCTCTGATTTCATATTCGAAGCACGCAGATCGGATTCATGAATGTGTCGTCTTTTTGGAGCTTTCTGAGCCGCATCTACGTCAAAATTCATACCAGGATTGAGTTGGGGGGGGGGGGGGGGTTAGTCTGAGTGACTGTGGTAAGAATCTGCGTGATTTTGTTCGGTGAATCAATTGGCTCGCTGGTGGAAAATCAATCTGCAGCAGTCGGTGACATGAGTTGAGTGCCTGGCGTCGCCTATGACAAGGGCGGCACTCAGTTGCTGGTTTATGTATGTCCTGCAACTCGTTGGAGGGCTCATGATTTACACAGGACACATGCAATCGGGATGTGGTCTGTCTGGGGGCGAACATGCAATACAAGAGCTGATCTAGTACTGAGTGGAATCATCCGAGTGTTGAATAAGAGTGCTCGGTAATAGAGTAGTGTGGATTCCAGCGCGATATGATTCCAGGCGAGTGCTGCCTCTGTCAATGGGGGTTAATTTCGGTGCAGAGCTTGCTGGACCCTCCTTACATAACTTTCACACGATTGTTGCATTTGCGCTGCCCGTCTGACACCGCGAGCTTGCAAAGTTGTTCCACTGTCCTGTTCGCTCGGTGCGGGCCTTGTCCCTTGGAGTCCCCCCCCCCCCCCCTATCCTTTTTTTTTTTTTTTTCTAATTTTTACCTTCGGTTAGGGAAAGAACCAAATCTTCCATGGCCTTGCATGCGCCATCTCTTCCAATGCATGAACCGTGTGTGGAGCACAGGAAATAGTTCCCATCGCAACTGCCCACGTTCATGAGTGGTTTGTAATTGCGTGGCAGACATTCCAGAATCAGATCCTACGGGAGAAAACTAAGAAGTTCCTATAATTGGGTTCGGGTGAGCTAGCGGAGTTATCCTGTGAACGAGCTTCCCCTGTTCGGAGGAATGTTGGCCTACTGCCAGATTAATCGCAGAATTACATTGCCCGGAGCAAAGTGCCACGTGAACTAATACTGGGAGAGAAAGGAGTTGGTTATCATTTTTATTTCACCTTGATCAGTTTCTCACAGTTTGAAAGGTCAGGAATCTTCAGCGCGTGAATTTGACCCAGCTCTTTATGTAGCTCTTTTCGGAGCATTGGTGTGCAGCCATTGCTGGAAGGGCAGAAGAGTGCACATTCGCGGCAGAAAGGTGATGTCAGGTGGATGTGAGCCTCGATTCAAGTTCTAGGCCCTTATGTGTGAGCGAGTCAAAAACCTGATGTGGTCATATTCATGAATGAGAGAATTTGTGGGGGAGTATCGGAGCAGTGAAGTTGCAGGCTTACCGTTTTCCTGCATTTACAAATTACAGGTAGTGTATTTTCTTTTCTTTTCTTTTCTTTCATCGTCGGTGTTCGTTTTTGATTTGTTTTGTGTTGTCTTTTTGCTTTTGATTTTACTGCAGCTCGCCTAGTTGTTGGTTGCACTGTTTTCATCTCCCAATCTACCTGTCCCTCTGAGACTGAGATGGCTTGGTTCCACTGGGGGCCAATTTTTCGGGTGCTTCGAGGCGACGTCCTCATGTACTTGACCTTCAGTGCTCAGGTCGATTACTGACACTCCAGTTTCGGTCTCTCTCATTCCGATTGACTTTCTCTCACTTAGTCTAAGCGTTTTTGGGGTTGCATCTTTCAGAAGAGCCTACACTGGTACAAAGTCCAATGCTCAGAGTTGGTAGTGTTGGTTTGTTTCTAGTTAAGGAATAGTTGGGCTTTGCATTCGACCTTCTTCTCTGTACAATTGCTTACTTCTACAATCCAGCTGCCTCCGAGAGTTTGCACACGAATCTACTCGGAGTACTTTGAGAATGTGACATTGCAATCGAAGGAGGTGCGATAGACTCCATGGCTCCACCTGTAGATTGGTCTAGAGGAGCTTGTTAGGATTGCATGAATGCCATGGCCGCAGCAGTCACACACAGTCTACTTAGAAAATCACGCCGTTTAGGAGGGTCAGTGTGAGGCCATGATGTAGATTAGAACTCTAGCACGATGGACACGAAGGATGTAATGGATGGCGGTATACACCATCACAGAATGAAGTGTGAAATAGGAGAGAGGGAAAAGGTCAATGGCGTCTTAAGGCAGTGTGAAGAGCACGATGGCGATGGAAAGAAGACGAAGAAGAGGAAGAAAGCTCTTGCAGGGGAAAGGAGGATCGTCGTCGGTATGAAGCTCGCCGCGGCGTACCGAGAGGTTTTAACGTGGACCATTGTCAAGGTTGCGCACCCCGGTGATCTTGTGATTGCTCTCCACGTTGCTCCCTTCCCATCACAGTCAGGTAACTGTGATCACTGTAAGGGCATCCTATCGATGAGTGGCGTTTACAGCCGTAAAAACCATTGCGATTGAGTAGTCTCGTGAGAAAGCAAATGCTTGAGCTGCTTAGAATTTACTGGGACGATATTTTCGTTACCAATCGTTTGCCCGAACCCTGAATTTCCTGCAGGTTAAACCTTCACGATCATAAATTGCGGAAAGAGGTTGACGAAGAGCTTAGGAATCTGTGCTAGAGACGAGAGAAACTTATTTGAGCAGTATTCTAATTTCGCTCTTGTCCGAAGAAGATGACCGAGAATTGATTAGTGATGAGGAATGGGAGAAACAGATACAAAATTACTCCAGATTTAGACTACAGTGTTTTCCAACCTGAGCTTGGATTCAATCAAGTGATCATCTGAAAGCGATGGATGGCATAAGCGTAGAGTATAGTCCCCTAACGAAGACCAGCATGCCTCACACTTTTTCTGCGAGGTTCCGTGCAAGCAGTGAAACTCCACTCTCGGTCACTAAAGTTTCCATTCTCACCATGCGTATTGGAGCTCTTTTGCGCTTCATGCTTCTGAGCTCGTACACATAACAGTAGCCACTGTGTCCCCTTCCTGTCTTCATGGCACTTGCCCTGGGGGGAAATACGTGCTCCATTGCAGTTCGGGAGACTGTACTCTCACATTATACATCCAATTGTTGCATCAGCGTACAATCGACAAATCCCTGCTTGAAAAACAACTAAGGACTTCGTCCTGCCGTTAATTCATGAACTTATTGGTGATCCGTCTCCCGTGCTCCGCAATAAAGATTTGAAACAGTATCTCCTGTTCCTGATGTTTCACCACTTCCAAACTAATGCTAATTCGTGGACATGCCAGGTTCCAGGGGTGACAATGTCTGGGCAGATCAACAACAATTGACGAGCGCTTTGCACACCATCCTGGCAGTGTACGAAGGCCTCTGCAATCTCAAACAAGTACCTCTTCTTGCCCCTGTCCGAAACACTTGTCAGCAGTTCAGAGGAGAAATCCATTTCCGTATATACTGTGAAGCTTGATCGTGATCAAATTGCGTGAACAATTCGGATGTCTGTGATGTCACATGATCAACATGAGCAGGTGTTCTTGAAAGTTTCAAGTACTTCTGCCATGTCGGAGCAACAACAGCTGGATTTGCTTTTCCGCCAGAAACCGTAGTCCGTACTTGGACTATTTGTATTGTTGCAATTACGACGCCTTCCTTCACGAAGTAGGTTAATGTCTAGGGTCAGATTTCGCAGAGGCCGCAATAATTGAGCTCATGGAAAGGCTTTGATTGCGCATGCCAGATCAAACTGCAGCTCGAGATTGTAAACGGGATCAAGGTGAGGAAAACACTCGTGGAGGAGGTGCGCAACTACGAGGCGTACAAATTGATTCTGGGGACAACCAGGCAGCATGCAGCGGGGTATACGACACACCACAATCTCTGTGCGCTTGTTCTTGTCCTGCTAACTCTGAGTCTCTCAAGCGGGAAATGCCTCGAATTCATGCAGCGTTGTGATCGAGAGTGCACAGTTCTTGCGCTGCCTCGCTTTGTTTTGTGGTTTCGTGGGCTGTATTGTTGTATGCTTCGTCTCGTTGCGATGGGAACTAATTTTCAGCCACTTGGGTTTCATGGCGCATTGTTTTCAGCTGGAGTGCATCGCTTGGAAAGTACTGTACAAAGCGACTCCCGTCCACATGCTCGGTGGTAGTTTTCGATCAGTGGAAAATTATGTTTGAAAGAAGGGGCACACGGATTGCAACATCTGGTAAGCTCCCCAGCTTGTCATTTCTATACCTTGCGGTGATTATGTGAGCGGAGTCGAAGGTTAGTATGTCCGTTATTAAAAATTGAGAAACCTCCACAGTATAGTTAGGCAGTTTACCGATGATTGCATACTAGATCAGCAGTCATGGTCTGTTAAGTTCATGAACAGATTTCGCTGCTGATTATTCAACATGACTGGTTAAAACTATTTTGGACGTTCGCTCGCATTCAAGCCGCCTCAGATAGCATGCTGTGAATTTTCCAGCAATCAGCAGTAATGAGTCTTGTCGAATGCATTTCCGGTTGAAGTTTTGTATTTGAAGTGGCAATGAGTCATATGATCAGTGCTCGACACAATTGCAGGGCCCTCGATGATGAAAATTCTGCGACAGAGTGTTAAAAGCATAGGGAAGAGCAGGAAAGAGTCCATTGCGACATCACGCTTTGATGATGACGGCACTGTGTCCACACATTCAACAACGACCACCGCAACTGGGACGAAGGACGCCAATTCTAGAGAATGCGATGACCGTGTCACTGTTAATGACTCTGATTGTGCTTCGTCATCGAGTTCAACGATGTTGCATGAAGACCCGGTCGGATCGAGGTCGAAGTCACGCTCAGCATCGCCGATCAGTGTCCTCCCACCCAATCGACTGGAGAGCGCATTGTCTAATTTTGAGGCCTTTCGTTTATCGTATTCGAAGCGTCGATTAGAGGGTTCGATTTCGAAACGGACGAGCTCCTTGAGAGTTGAGAAACAAAATCTGCAGCAGCTTTGTGGCGGTGAAGGTGAGGGCGATGAAGACGACTCTATCGAAGAGTTGGACCCTTATCCTACAGGAGCATACAATTCTGACAATGAATCAAGATGTTCGGCGCCAGTGCTCACTGAGAAGATTGTTGAACAGGCCATAACATCCTCTGAGACTAACGAGACCACACCGAGAACATGGCCCCTCGCGCATCACTCTCTCAGCGGTGACGAAATATCGAACAGCGTGTCATCTTCTGAAACCGTAACAATTTCTGAGATTGAGGAGCCCATCCAAAGAGGTTGGCCCCTCATGCATCGTTCAATAAGACGTGAAAGCTTGAACTTGTCCTTCGGTCCAACGCTTGACCGAAGCATGTCAGTTGTAAATTGGGCATTGCAACTGCCGGAGCGAAGAGGAAAATGTACAGATAGAGGGTGTGTAACCAAAGAACATTGGAAAGGTGTCAATTACTCTACCTATATGCAATCTGGCAGTGAGGATAGATTCTATACCGCTCAAGTCAGATTTTCCTTAAGCCTGCCGCACATCAGGACACCCACAATGGGAAGATTCGAGCCCGATCGATTAGTGTCGTTAACATTCCAAATCAATCAATTATGTCGAGGCCGCCCGCGAGTGTTTACTTACGAAGAGATTGACGCAGCAACGTCGAGCTTTTCTTCAAGTAAGTCAATACGCATTTTGATTATTGGTAGAGGGTCTTCACTATGATCTTGCCGTGGGTTTCACAGGTATGTTCCTGATTAGTTGTGTTGTGGAGTATATTACGGTGAATCGATGCTCTGAGATGTAACCATATCTTCAGTACCGAACAACGCTCCTCCTCTTCGTCAAATTTATATTTCCCCCTGCTCATTCATAAGTTTGCGGAATTGCTTAAGGTAATTTGATCGGAATAGGTGGAGGGAGTCAAGTATTCCGTGGCCAGACATCTGAGGGCCGGCTTGTGGCTGTCAAGCTATTAAATCAAGGGCGACCACAAGCACAGGAGGAGCTTCTCAACGACATTGCGATAAACAGCTCACTAAAACACCGCCACATTGTTGCACTGCTCGGCTATTCGGTGGACGAAAGGCATCTCATCCTTGTTTATGAATTTCTTCCGAATGGGAACTTGGACGACCACCTCCACGGTGCTTTACCTTGTTTCATTTCCATCCCAACCGCATATCTATGGAAATTGCTAAACCTGTACTTCCAATTGGTGTGACGCAAGTGCTCTTTGAAAAGGGGTTGAAGTAAACTCGAGAACTGGATTGTGAATTCAGGTGGGAAAGATTCAGCTGTGATTCCTTGGGAAGTGCGCCACAAAATTGCTATCGGAATCGCCCGGGCCTTGGACTACCTTCACGATGGGTGCCCCCGGCCAGTTGTGCACAGGGACGTGAAGGCGTCGAATATTTTATTGACATCAACCTTTGACGCTCAGGTAAAGCAGGGATGATGAACACGAAGAGAGATCCGGTATTGTGACAAAACATGCACTGAGAGACGTAACTAGATAGTGACCGAAAGAACTTGAGCCGCTCTTGACTTCACCTCTACCATTTGTGAATTTTTGTCTGAAGTAAGATCAGCAGATAAGCGTCATGAAGGTTGGGCTCTCCTGTCACACTCTATTACATTAAAAACTTCGCAGAGTGTGCTGCCAACGCGTGCAAGTTTGACAAGCACGAATCGAGACATGATTTACTTTTTAATGTTAATCCAGTTTTAGATCACTGTGTTTTTATCGGTAAGATTAACCAGCGAGTTTATTCTTGTGCAGCTGTCAGATTTTGGACTGGCGAAGTGGGCCCCAACCGACATTCCATTCATTCGGTGTAACGATGTAGTCGGCACGTTTGGGTAATGCATCATGGAACCTGGACTCTGCAGATAGAAGCATTCTAGAAATTCTTGACTATGTACATACCTCGATGTAGTATTGGTAGTTGGTGTTGTTTTTTCCAAGAAAAAACTCATCATACTTACTGTTCTTTCTATTGAAAATTTAGGAGTGAGATGTGGGTTGTTTGTTTGCAGCTATTTGGCACCCGAGTATTTCATGTATGGAAGAGTGAACGAGAAAACCGACGTGTACTCATTTGGTGTGGTTCTTCTCGAGCTCCTTACTGGTCGGCAGTCGATTGACACAACTAGGCCAAAAGGCAAAGAAAACCTCGTTCTATGGGTAATGTTCACATGCTTGCGAAAACATGTGGATTATGGTTGTGCAATTCTTCACATTGGTGTTGAACTCAACTTAGATTGAAGTTCAAGATCGTGTGTTTTAGTTCCCGTGATAGTCATTTGACATTGATTGTTTTGATTCAGGCGCGGCCACTACTGGAGGAGAAAAACATCGATATATTGGCGGATCCCCGACTTTCTGGTGAATTTGACGTCGACGAATTTATAAGCATGATGCTTTCATCTGCTCTCTGCATCAGCCACTCTGCTCACCGAAGACCACAGATGAGCAAGGTCAACTCCATGTCTTGTAATATGAGCATTGCTGAGTTAAGTTAACTGCAAATAGTGGCTCTGATACTACCAGATAAAATGTGCAAGTAATAATCCCTTGATTCGAATCGAGTGGCCAGTACAAGAATGTGATTTGTAAAAGTAATCGCACATTGATAGGTCCGACGTTTGTGATATGCAGATACTCAAAATCTTGTCTGGAGAAGGCGAAAATCTTGGCTACTGGCCCCGGCGAGAACTTACCAACAATTCCATAGACATGGATGAAGCTGGCAACAATTTGGTGGATGGGGCTGCAAACTTCGGTGCTACAGATATCCAAACGCACTTGGCGCTTGCCATGCTCGGGGTTGATGATGGAATCGACGATGAGTCTTCACTCCATGACCATGACCCAAGTGGGACGCTTGCTCCACATTCCAGTGCCTACCTCGAGGAGTATCTAAAGGGTCGATATAGTCGGTCGACAAGCTTCAACATTTGAACATTCTCTCTATACTATACAGCAGAGGGATCGTGTCCGAGGATTTGATTCAGTCTAGACGATAAGCAGAAGCTGTACGTCGGAATGATTAGTAAATCCTCGAACATGATCTTTCTGCTTACCAAACTCGATTTCTCCCACTTGTTGCAAGCTTTGTGGTGCTTCATCGGGGTATTTCATGAGGGTATGCAACCCCCTCCCTGTTACGCAGGAGAGTCGCCCCAGTCTTCCCCGATGACTCCAAAGTTAAAAAGCTTCATGGAACTGATTCCAGAGATAATCTTTTCAATGAATCATGGAACTTGATCCCGGAACAAAAATACTAATTTCACAGATATTCTGCATAGTCACCAAGCTTGGGCAACGCACCAAGCTGGTGATCTACTATTGGACAAAGTTGCGCACTTGAAGCATACACACACACACATATACGTACATACATACATACATACATACATACATACATATTGACATGCACATCTGGTTGTCCGAGCCATTATTAAATAAGACTCAAATGTTAATGGTAGGTGCGTCCAGGCCCAATCTTCGGAGTTATATCTGATCAATCCCCGCGAATATAGAAACATGAAAAAATTTAAAAAACCACAGACCTCATGATTTTGTCCGAATAGATCTAGAGATTCTACCAATTACCGACCGTCTCCAGCTGCTGGAGCTTTGGAAAAGAGCTAAATTAAGAAATCTTTCGAAAAAGTTGCCAGCACGGCAAAGAACCCAGGCTCAACTCTCGTGACCTAGACTTGAAGCGCCAGAGATTCCAAGAATCCTCTAAATGGTACCAAGCAGGGTAGTAACACATTGGCATGGTTCTGCATCTGTTGGTCCGACAAATAGAATCACTTGTTACCATGTCTTGTTACCTCTTGATTCCTCTTCAACCTCACACACGTTGTCGGTTAGGTGGGAGGAATATTTAAATAGTTTTGTATCTGCATTTTAAAGATAAATTTTTAAATGGACTTACGCTGCCCCCAATCCAACTTATCTGAAACCTACAGGTGGCACTCACCTATGCTTCAACTGAACAACTCAAAGCATTCATGTTACAGTAAAACTGGAGTGGCAAAACAGTAAAGAATTCACTATGCTAAATCCATCGATATTCAATTTCACTTGAGCACGTTCTCAAATCCAAATCCACGGTCAGGTTGATGGATTCACTGGTTTGCACCCCACATCTCCTGGGTGCAACGTTTTGATGCATATGCACAACTCCTTCAGAGCAAAATGTACGAACCTTGCTTGCGCATCAGACTGGATCAGATGGATACTGATGACAGTGGTATTGGTAATAGAGTAGCGCGAGGTGCACTAACCCAAGGAGTTCCTGCCACAGCGAAACGCCATGGAGCTACCACATCTTCAGGCGCTGCATAATCTATGCCCACTCTTGGTCCGGCAAGGATGGCCTCTGGGGTTGCACCATCCAGAATTTCTAGCCCACCTGTTGGGAAGGAATCATTCTCAACGAGCATCAGTCTTCCCATCCTTTCAAACCCGTCCTCAAGACACAATTGCTGAGATCACTGAATCACAGAGAGCGCACAAAATTGCGTAACCAAATAAAACCTAATGCTGATGTTTCTGAGGATTTTGTCAAATGCAAAATTTAGCATTGCAGAAGAGTACAGGTCAGGGTGCGGACCGGGTAAGAAAAGTGGATGGCAAGACCAGTCTGTTGTTAACCCCAGGGCTTGACCCACCTACTCCCACAAAAAAATAGAAAAAAATAGAAAAAATTAAGTTAAATTAAATTAAAATTAAAAAATTCTAAGAATTGGTTTTTGTTCATTGTGATGAGCAGTATGAAGTCAAAAGAACTCTAAGTAATTTTGCTCCAATGCACAAAATGAGAGAAACTTAAAAGCAGCACATCTTTCAGACACCAAAAAACTTCATTGCAATAAACAAGATTAGAATGATCAGGTCTGTGCATACCTTGCCTGGTCCAGTGAGAAGCACAGGCTTTACGGCAGCTTGTTTCCGACGTTGCTGAATTGTCGCTAGACCTGCACGTACAAAACTAAATGACTTGAATGGTTCAAGTTTACCACATTAGGGCTTCACATGCGGGAGATACAAGACTTAAAATGCCAAGATCGAGAAGAAGCAAAGTCAAGAAGCTTGCGGTTAAGTATGCGATATTGCTGCAGTTTTTGGCATCACACCTGCCACTGGCGAACATGCTCGAATGAGCACAGCTGCGCCGACGCCCTCCTTATCAGCCACTACGTTGAGCATGATGTTAATGCCGTAACATAGGTACACATATGCATGACCTCCTGCTCGGAACTGCCTCACCCATGCGACAAGAGCCCTGTCAATCTCTCAACTTTTAGTCAGCCAAAATACATATATGGAAAAACAAATCCTTGAGCAGTGGTCGAATAATGGTTCACTGTACCATAGCTTCTGTGCGGGATGTTCGACCAAATCGAGCGTGGCAAGCTGTATCACCTGTCCTGTATGCCTCTACCTGGAGCAAACATGTGTCGGTGATTACGAGGTGACACGGCTATGTCAAGCATCTGCATAGAAATTGCATTCAGGCAACTTTCAATCTGCATACAAGCCAGCCTTGAAAAAATAAACGGTGATAAAATTCCTACCTCGGTGATTTGCAGTATCACATCATCGTGGCGTAAGAATTTTCCAAGAAGTCGAGGAGCAAGGTCCAGAGCATCACACGCGTAGAAGTCCGAAGAGAGAAGTTTGTAATTGTCCGCAGGTTGAGGTTGAGTGAAAATTGTGGAATCCTTGTCTTCTTCGGGTTGCTCCTTAACCTGATTGCAGAGATGAACATTGTGTGTGAAAGGTTACATGGTTACATCGTCAGAGTTGAATGCAATAGAGATAAGGCATGTGTAGAATGACGGCAAGATGCTGCACCTGCCTCTCTTTTAGCTGAGTTAACCATGGTCCTCTTTAAGCCCTTCCCTCCAGCAGGCTTCTTTGCAAAATAGGGTGACACAACTCTGTTCGGGGTCGTCGTCTTAGTGGCTGACATCCTCTGCACCCGCAGAGATCGGCGCAAATCCTGTGGTTCCTCTGGAACATTACTAACAGACGTCGAGGCCTTGAAGCTCAAGGAATCCATGGGGGTAGTAGAATACAGCTACTACATTTGAAGTGAATCAATCGTTTTGCAGTATGTAAGCCACGACGAGATTTCTCAAGTGTGCATTTGCACAAAATGGATTGCAAACATGTAAAAGGTCGGGGCTACGAAACCCCTAAACCCTAAATTACAGCATCAGGTAAAGAAATAAGCAAGAGGAAATCGCACTAGAATTAGGACCGACTGCCATTGGTACGCAAGAAGATGGCGATTGGTTTCGGTTTAACATACCAACGCAAACACACGGCAATTTTGTGACAGACTTACGGAACCTGCCGAAGCATAGAGCGCCAGAAGGTGCATTCAAGTCCTTTCTATAGACGATTGCATTACCCCGAACCTGAAATTTACGTAAATTGTGTGAACATTGTTCGCAAAAAAGGGGCTTCCGCTACAAGATTATGCGCCTTCCAACACTAATCTCGAAAGCGTAACACCTACTCTTCCACCCACAAAATCTACCTGCCTCCATACAATCCACAACCACCGCACCCAACTGCGACTTAAGCATGAAAATGACACGCGGAAGAGCAAATTGATGCTATGATCTTCAGTACTACACAACTAAAGACAATAAAATAGTCATGCCAAATGGACGAAGAGTACAATATGATCAATCTTCACAGTCAATTCCCAATTCCGCAACTACTAAAGATCACTAGGTTGAGTAATTATTTCGAAATGTCGTTTTGAGACTCGGATTAGTGGGCTTTGAGCCCTCCACGCCTCCGCTATACCACTCTGTTCACTCGTAGAAATGAAGTATTTGAAATTATTATAGTCGTGGAAAAACCTAGAAATATTTTTGGTTGGTTCTCCAGCCGATTATTCTCATTAAATTCTGACAATTTTGAAAGTCACTCGGATAACTCTTTGACCAGGATGCACCGCTGGTGTTCTTAGAAGTCAACAGAGGATAATAGCTCTCAACAGACCAATGTTAACTTTGTCTGTTTGGACTGTAACTGCTAATTTTGTAAGCTCATTTTTATTCACATGTGGTTCTATTGTTCCAGTATCAGTCGGCTGCTGTGTATGGTTCCGCCGAGTTCCGACAAATCCTGTTGAGGCTGAAGTTTCGCCGTATTCTTCGCCGCAAGTTGCACTTCAACGCCAGCAGAACTCGGAGGGCACACGGCTCATGCTGTGTGTTAGAAATTTCTCTATCTTGAAGGCAGTGCTCTGCGTCGTTGATTCCACATATCACTATCTCCGACTGATCAGTTTCGCAAGTGCGACGGTATTTTTCTGCAATTCTTTTTCAGTTGCAGTAATAGCCATCAGCCGGTTTGGATTCTTACGGCAATTTCTGTCGACATCCGTTTTAGTTTAGGTCTTTTTGCTAGTTGCGTTTTGCGTAGCACCTTCATCTTCTTTGAACGAATCACGTTCTTGTGGAATTTGTTGACAGTTTCATCGATCTCAGTGACGGCCAGGTCAAGGACGTTCATTCACGGCTTTTAGTCAACCATCTGGGTTTTTCTAGACTTCAGGACCATTAGGTTTGCTGCTGCGAATGGCGTAGTCCAGCCAGATATTGCTCCTCGGTTTGTTCCAGAATCGCAGCCTACATCTTTCTGCAGCAGGTCAGGAATATTTGAGCTTTGCATACCCCCGAAGTACGTGTGGATTCGGGATTTGTGGCCAAGGTGAAGAAAACTGGTGAAGATGCCTTACGGCGAGTTGGACGTCTATGTGGAGGGTGCTTTGGGAATCAAAGACTCCTCCGTGTTTGGTTTGTTCCTTATTGTTCCTTAAGAGCTGCCTCTTCTCCTGCCTTTCACTGTTGTTCACAAGGGTGCACCAGATGCCTTGGATTTTTAATCTGCAATTGTATGGAGCTTCACGTCACTTTTCAAACCATTAATCTATTGAAATGATTTGCAATGCAAGTCGACCGTCAAGCTTTGAAGCTAGTATCCAGTGACTTAGTTTGACGGTAAACGACTTGGCCCAATTGATTCTCTTCATGTCGAGTTGAAAGATAATGATCGGACCATTGTTTGAAAGATTCGTGAGCGTATAGGAAATTTTCGGGTGTGTGCAGGGAGAGGAACTCCGTATTGCACCCTTGCGATGGGCAACCAGACATTTAGCAGCCCTCCTGTTCCAGGTTCTCTCACCTCACAAATCTTATTGAAGTTAGGTTTCTCGATGCGTGTCATTCTTGTGAAATACAGATATATTTGACTTGCATTCTCTTTTACTCATCATTTATTTCTAAACGAGTTGCTAAACCTGCGTCATGCAGCGGGTGGAACTCATCCATTCTTCAACACAAAATTCCAGTTTCAAGTTGACAGTGGAATGGAAGAGCTTTATGTTACTGTCTTCGGCAAGAACTCGTTGACCGATGACAGCCTTCTCGGTAGCTGCAGGTAACAATCGAACCATAGCCCTCGATTTGGAACAACTAATGAAAGAACTTTCAACCACCAGATGTTTGATGGCTTCAGATCCGCAATGTACTTATGTGGTCTGTCCCGTTGTTCCAAGACAAGCCACAGCTTTGTGAATACCCACTGGACATTTTAGTACCTGATTAGGGTTTTGATTTGCGCGGCTTCACTGATGATTGTGTAAGAACCTGAATGTCACGATGACCGCGTCAAAGGTTCCAGAGCATTCCTGCTCGGAGCGCGTATAAATTTGCACCTACAGTCTCTCTCAAGAACAATGCAGACCATGAATTCCCACTCCGACTGCTAGACCGTTCTTCAGAGAATGCTACATGAAGGTTAGAGCTGCCCAAAAGGAACGGTGTTCGAATTGTTTTGGAACGAGAACAACCCCGAGCACCATTCCTGAGATCCATGAACTTAGAATCTAACCTAGTTTTTATTGCTGCTGCAGAATTGTCTTCCCAGATGTCTTCCGAACCACTCGCGAGTTACCTGTTCAACCATATGCTCTAACGCGTCCTTCGGGAAATCCCGGTGGTGAAATCCGACTCTCCCTCACCTTCACAGCTCTACCGGTAAGCGCGCCACATCTGTGATGAACCTCATTGCGAACGACTTCAACACATTTCACTTGTTTTAATTCTCGCCAATTTTTATGCAACGATTGCTGATTGCTCCTGGCACTCACATTTTTCAGAGACCACAACCTAATCTGCAACCCAGACCTCGAGCGCCACATGGGCCACATCCTCGCCCAGAATATCGCCCCGATCCTCCACCATGGGATCACCCTCCGCAAATTAGACCTGCAGGCCCTGTTAGACCACGCCCACCCCCACCCCCGCCAGCGGCAAGCTACTTTGAACCAGAGCCGGGCTCACCTTACGGCTTTGTCCATGGTTCTGATACACGTTCACCTCGAAGTGACTATGGACCGCAACCATTTGATCAACCACGACTGCAGTACCAACAGCACCTGTTTCCTGCTCCTCCTCCATTAAACGAAGAGGCAGTGTCTACCTCTGAGAGCTCTGAGAGCGAATCAGAAGACAATTCGCGTCCTGCTCCCGTCCATGTACCTCCGCAGCAACAATACCAGTCCCCGGGACCTCCGCCGGCTGAATACGGCGGTCCCGTCTATGGACCACCGCCTGCTCGTGGGCGCGGCTTGCGCCCTAGAGGACGCGCGGGACCTGTACGACGTGTAGGTCGTGGTGCTGTGAATGCATGGATGGAGCATGGTGGGGAAGATAGCGACGGATCCAGTCGGGGAGGATCCAGTCGGAGAGGAGGTGGCGACGACGGGAGTGTTGACGGCTCCACCGGCTTTGTCGATACGGCGAGTCAGAGAACGCTCAAGGATGGGTACAGTTACGACGATGGAGGCGCCAGTGTTGAGTACAATTCGAATTATGAAAAGGAATATGATGATGGACATGGCTACACGGATGGCCCAGGTGGTGCTTCTGGATCTGAATTCATACCTATGACAAACGTAATTCAGCCTCCACCTCCAGGGCGGGGTCGTGCAGGACGAGCGGGACCTCCAGGAACTGGACGAGCGGGACCTCCAGGAACTGGACGAGCGGGACCTCCAGGAACTGGACGAGCGGGACCTCCAGGAACTGGACGAGCGGGACCTCCAGGAACTGGACGAGCGGGACCTCCAGGAACTGGACGAGCGGGGCCTCCAGGAACTGGACGCGCGGGACCTCCAGGAACTGGACGCGCGGGACCGCCGGGTTCAGTACCGCGAGGGCGTGCGGGACCGCCAGGACCAATCATGCGAGGGCGTTCAGGACCGCCTGGATCAATAGCACGGGGGCGTGGACCGCCGGGACGCGCCGGTCCTCCAGGCCGAGCTCCGATGCCAGGGGCACCTCCGCCCATGTAACGAAGACCGGCAAGGTATTGGTTGTAGGAAGTATGAGTAAGTTCGAACTTATCTAAGTTTGAAACGTAATCCCTAATGCATTGAAGTGTAGGCGATTGATCGATCGATCGATCAAGGTGCTCGGAAGATTGTCGACGACTGAAATTTGACGATGACTGCGCCAGTGATCGACGGAGAGTGGAAACAGTCGGAGCTTTGTACCAGTCCGCAACCCACATGTGAGGGGAACTTGGAAACGGACACACTCGCTATTGAACGTGAGGATAAGTGAGGTGCATCATATTTTCAGGGGATACAATGTGGCGTGATCTTTGGGGATCGCATCCTTTGAACAGACACGTGATTCCTGTCCTTTCAAGACTAGGACAACCATGTTCCAACCCCACTTGGATGCCATCACCGATGAGGCGCTGCCTTGGTCTGTTTCCACCAATTAAACACTACTTACTTTGATTATTAATAAACACACTGAATCTGCATCGCTGTAGCTAATAGTGCGGATCGAATTCCGTAGGATCAATTGCCACAGTTAGAGCTGCAAGGCGCTTTCCAAGTGTATCAGTGGATTTTCATGTCAAAATAGACATCCTCTCCTGTAGAGGATCCCAATTTTTCTGTAAAGATTCTTTACTTGATCGTGTCGCATTTCAGTGTGCTTTTCAGTCCGAGGAACGTGATCTATATTCCGTAATCCAGAGCGTTGTGTTGGAAGTGAGGAGTGTTGAATGGGGGATATAACCTGGACCTAGTGTTTAGCCATGTTTCACCTTCGGCGGCAGACGCTGCCATCGAACAGGAGGGCCAGCACTCTTTTGAAGAATCCCACAAACAAAAAAGCCTCGGCATGGCAGCGCTTCAGCATCAAGAATCCCACCGAATTCGAGGATGCGATCCTGGCAAGCGGCTTGGGCTTGCACCCCGACTTCATGATTCCCACGCGGTCGCGAAGAATCTCAAGCCGGATCATGAGGTTGGATGCGCTGCGGTTGCTGAACATGGGTCACATCAACGAGCGCTACCACGAGGACTACTTCCATACGCCCAAGAGACGCAGCCAACTGGTGGACGGGATTGACCCGGACAAGGTGCGGAAGGAAGTGCCCAACTTCCCGCTTCGGCAGGTGTTGAAGACTGCCAGGAGAAGCTTGCAGCCAATGATGGTAAAAGTTCGACTAGATCCGACTCTAGAACCGGGCGGGCGTCACTCAGCATCCGCCGCCCAGCACCTTCTTTCCTCCACAGGTAGCATCCAGGGTGGATTCTTCACAGTGGATCAAGGGATTGGCACGGCAAGAGCTTCCTCCCCGAAGCGCCAGGTGACTAGCTCGTCTACTAGTTTCTTCGCAGTGTGGTTCTTAATTGTATTCCCAATTTTTTTCATTTTATGTTTAGCATGGTTGATGAACTGGTTGCAGTCGAAATGGTTCTCGGAAGCAGCACCTATGCCAGATGAGGATCCCAGCTACATACTCTCTCTCGTGAAACAAGCCGGTATCAAGAGCGGGGCCGCGGTGAAAGTTCCAGGTATGCGCATAAGCCGCACACACGATTGAAGTTTTCTCCGCGTAACAGCCTGTTGAGTTCTCGACTTGAAATTCGACCTGTGAACAATTTGTGCACTTGATCAACAGATGAGACTAATGTCTTTTCACCGATTGCTAAGAGGCTGAATAAACGAGCTCAGAAAGCGACGATCTGGTGATACCTCACATCTCCTGCCAGACATGCCAATCAGTGTTGTGTCCAATTGTGCTGTTGAAATTCCATACTAGAATCAACTGAGTGTCTGTAAGTGGTCTCTTCAAGAACCATGAATTATGTACTCCAGTTTCAATCCTAGTATTCCTTGGTTGTTGACCAGGGCGGATTCCGTAAACCCTGAGGTAAATAAGCCGTTGAAACAAGTGCCATTGGTAGGGGTTGCAGCTGCTGCTCAGAAAGTCCATCAGCAGCTTCAATTTGAACCTCCTCCTACACCTGGTGAGAGCTTTACAAAGAGTGCAATGAACTGAAACTAGCTGCTTGATAAAAATAATTGCTTTCAATCTTACTGAAATAAGGTAATTGGTAGTTACTCATTCATGAATGAGTGTTTAACCTACGTGTGTGGAGCCAAATGCAGAGACCCCTTGGCCCACAAATACGTACTTGCGAATGCAGCCGACCAAGGACATGCGCTGCTCGGAGAGAATCACTCCTGAGCAACAGAAGCTACACCTTCAAAAAGGTTTAGGAACAGGTAAAAAGAATATCGTCGCAAGTCAGTTCTTTCAAATGCTTCCATCAAGTTGAGGTGGTTGCAGCTAAGCTGAGTGCAGACCATTATGGAGTCTGATGAGTACTCTTTGCCTAGTTAGGAGCAAAGACACAAATGCTGGACTATGCAACTAAAGCGGAGTCGTTGCGACGCCAGATGGATCCTGCTAAATACAAGGAGGAAGCCAGATTCTATCTATGCAAGGGCGTCTTGCATGACAATGCCCAGGTAGAATCCTGTTGATAACTTTCCAAGTTTTGCCAGTCCTCACTTTGAAACAAAACATGAAACCTTGAATATGAAGCATTGATTTTCAAAGCGAGGTTTCTGTGCTACCAGGAGTATCAACTAGCAGTGGACATGTATATGAAGTATCTGGATATATGCGAGAGGTTAGACGACAAGGACGGGCAGGCTCTCGCCCACAACTTCATCGGCTGTTCCTACCAAGAGAAGGAAAACATCAAACTCGATGCCATAGCTAAGTCAAGACTCGACAAGTCTGCCAATTTTGAAATTCCAGAGTCCTCTATTGCTGAGGTATGATTCAGCCTCTTGGATCTCTTGTGAGCACTTGTGAATCTTGGTTATCATGTCTGCAGCTGATCGAGTCAATTCGCGATTCACATCGGAAGAAATGAGTTCACGTTTGTAACTCACTTTGTACTTCGTTTGCAGTTTGAGAAAGCATTGGAGCACCACAAACTAGCATGCGAGAAGACCAATGTCGAGGGGAGATTCATCTGCTACACTAACCTAGGGCTGCTTTGTTCCACGCTCTCAATGTGGGCAGAGGCTGGGGAGAACCATAAGGTAATGGTGAAGTCGGATGGTCAGTTTTTCATGAAATCGGTCAAGCTTCACATTGATATGTCCAGTTAATATTATACATTTGATTGTTACTTACTATCGTAAGCATTTGTTGTTCAAATGATGCATTCAGAAAGCGTTGAAGTATGCTACAGTTTTGGAGGATTCAAGAGGACAATGTTCTGCAGTAGGGAACCTGGGGTTCCTTCTGTACAAGTGTAAGAAGTATGATGCTGCCAAAGCTTGCCTTAAGAGGTGACACCTCCGCCTTCACCATCAATTACATGACCGATTGCCTCTCCTTTCCACTTAACCCAGGAATTCAATTGCTGTTTGTAATAGTACAGAAACTTTTGTAAGCATCAGTGGCGATTGTGTGGTCTGCTACAGGTACGTTCAAATTTGCAATGTGATTAATTTCATTGCTGGAACCGCTAGAGGTCACTTTTACCTAGGTGACATAGAAGCTCGACAGAAAAGGTACGTATTATTTTTTCTAGACACGTTGTGGTTCCGCATTCCGTTCTTTATGCTTTTCTCTGCCACATAATACCATGTCAAATTTTGCTGCTGCATAGTTACAATTAGCGAAAAAAGCGGTATGCGAAGCGATTTCTTTCTACTGAAATGCTCAGGTTCGCAAGAATGCGAAGCACTGAAAGGCGGCCAATAGGATGTTTTGAATTTACTTTTATGGCTGCAGGTTGGCAGAGTACTGTACTGTTGACACTGTTCTTTGCGATTCTCTTTCATATGTAGGTACGAAATGGCTTTGGTGGACTTTAAAAATGCAGCACGTGCAGCTGAAGAGTGCGGCGACACGACCATACAGACCTTGAGTAAGGTGCAGATAGGAATCTGCGAAGGTGAAAATGCTTTGAAAAAGTTAGCAGAGAATGTGGATTCGCAGAGCATCTTCGAGGCTGCACTAAACGACATGTAATTGAACATCCGAGTTGTGACGAGTGAGGTTTTGTGATGAATTAGTATGCATAGAAACAAACCCAGAGTTTTGATACCCAACGATTAATTAGTGAAACAGGCAGGAAGTGAATGTGCATGACGAACTGATTGCACTCCAATTACACCCCCCTGGGGGTCAAGCTTTCAAACAGGTAGAAATGAAACTGGTGAGAAATGACTCCTCATTTCATCGTTTATTCCTCAAAATGTCATGGTTTTGCTGGAGTGTCTTGCTTGCTTAGCAAACCATAATCAGCTTCCTCCATGAAAAGTCTTGTCGACACAGTGCTTGGGTAGAAGTGGTTGGCCCACTGTGCGTACATCCTTTTCTCTGTCCATTTCACAGCATTATTGTTGCTATCCTCATCAGCTTGTGCCATAACGCCTCCAGAGATGAGTTGCTCAACTACTCACTTTGTAACGGTTGTGAAAAGTAGAGGACCTGAAACTAACTTCTCGTTGGGTACCATAGAAATGAATGCTTAAGATTTGGGTATAGATTTCATAGTTTTGCAAAGGAGGGTTGGAATGATTCGAAACTACCTAAGATATAAGGATGGCGAGTTGTACTCATATTCATAACATAATATCAAAGAAGTGCCAAAGTTGACAATATGAATTGTAGTTATGAAATTTATATCGTGTCATATTACCTTGTATGAAATTTTCTCCAATTCTGCCACAAAGATAATTTTGGCACTAGAAAGGGGTTCTAATTTGAAGTTTAATCCAAGATGTTTAATGTATGGGTAGTCTAACCAGTTGTTTATTTGTATGTCAGAATGCAAGTTTAATTTTTAAAATAAATAAACACCTTCTAGCCTAGAAATTTGAAGCAAATAGCATTTATGAAAATAATTCTAGATTTTTTCCTGTCCTGTCACTTTGAATCTTTTTTTTTTTTTTTTTTTTTTAAATTTCTTAGATTTCATAAGTTTTATAATTATACACACTTTGGAACCACAATAACAACACATGTTGTTATCTACTATTTAAAGTGCATTCTTTACATTAAAATAATGTAGTTAAAGTCTAAATTAAAATAAATTGATGTGATGGTTCGAAATAAAACTATAAAAAAATGATTTTCATGCAATAATTCATACTTTCCAAAATACACTTTCCTACAATTCTTGATTGATTTAACAATTTTAGTTTCAAAAGTAAGGAGGTTGAATCAATTTTAGTAAAATGGGTGGAATTGGAGCCTCCTTATTTTTAGTGATATCCATTTAAATATTATATTATATTGTAAGGTAATTTTTTCTCTTGGTGGGACTTCAGCTTTTTATATATATATATATATGTATATACATACTTGGATTGTTTTTAAATCATGAAAATTTAATATTAATATATGTTTTTTTGTGATTATTTTTTTCTCCATATATGGGATTTTAGGTGTTGGATTAATGATCATAATTTTGTATCTTTTTCTTCTCTTTTCTTTTCTTTTTTAAAATTTATTTTTCAATCTATTTATATTGTTCAGATAATAAGTATCAATTGACTTGAATGTATTGTAGAATTGTTATAGCAGGTGCTTTTTCTACTCAATTGAAATAATAAGAAAATATAATACATGTTTTGAAACAAAATTATAATGAAGTGATAAAAATCCAATTAGTGTTAAGGAGTAATTACTGTAATAACAAAAATAATTATTATTATTCTTTTATCATTTCTTTCTGGTTTTATGCCTAGATGTTTTTCAGGAGTATCAAATTTATACGATTTTAATGTGTTTGAATGAAATGTTTTTAATTCTAGAGATAAATTTTTGAGATTAAACAGTTCACTCAACAGCCGTCTCACTTGTTCACAATTCCAATTCTATCTTTCAAACCCTAATTTCAGTCATTCTGTCTTTGTAGGACGAACGCTTTGCAATCCACGGAAAGATCACAAGGAGGGTCAATCCTTAGACCAAGCAGATGCAGCAACAAGACTCACAAACACACATACACACTCACCGTGCATAATAGTGAGGAGGTTGCACCAAGTTATGAGCAAGCAAAGTTGTTACTGAGAGTTTGTACAATAGAAATCACCTATGAAAGGGCCACAGAATGCATCAAGAGGAAGCAGTGGTAGAATCTGTTTGTGTTTTCTGTTCTACAGCTGCACCCTGAAACATGCGTTTTTGAATCCATGTCGCGGCGGCGGGGAGGCTGAGGCATATCATCTATCTTCCGTGAATCTGGCCCATGGGGTTGTAGCTATTTTTGTGAGCTTCGGGGCGCCCTGGACCGGCAATATGTGGCTGCCCTGGTGCCATGTAGTTGTTGTGTCCCATATGAGCACCCTCCGTGCCGTAGGAGGCTACCAACACTGCGTCAGCAAGGATGTGACCCTCCATAGCATCCAGGACTCTGTCTCGCGATGGCTGCAAACATGAACCCATGTCAATCGTGCTAAAATTGAAGAGGATGTGGCTATCGCCTAACTGAAATGGTTTGTAGCGTGGTTTATAGGACGGTACTACGTGGTGCAACTCACCTTCTTGGGAACCTTGAGCGCGGAGTCAAGCGCGTAGAGATGGAACTCGTAACGATGTTCGGTGTCTGACGGGATCGGCCCACGGTAACCCGTTGCTTTGAAATCATTCGGACCTTCCTGGATTTGGCTGGCATCGTCGCGCTCGTCGTCTACATCCTTGGTTGTGAAACCCTCTGGCAACCCTGCGCAGAAAAATCGGTCCAATATCAACGACTGAAGCACTAAGATTGTGTGCAGTGGATCCGAGTGCGTGATCTCATTGCGTGAAAAAGATCAGGGTACCTGACTGCAGGCACAGTTTCCTGCGTAGAAACTTAACAAAAGAAACAAACAATACTCTTCGTATTCGGAGTGCATTGACGGGAGGTATTGCAGCATGGTATTGTCTTAACTGCTCTAAGATCACAAGTACCGACACACGCTGAATGGTCGTACCTTTCATTGTAGGAGGGATGTTGACGACTACCCTGCGCGATGATCAACGCAACAGCAAATGAGTATCAGGTTGCTGAAAAGTAAAGCGTAGTCAAACACCGGAAGTTAAATAAGGCAAAAAGTGAGTGCGAATACAACAAAAACATTAAAGACGTGGCCAGGATGATCACACATTCATCGAAGCTTGACAAAAAGGACGAGAATTGATTGAAGCGGGATGTAGAAAATTCCAATCCTAACGTTGTGTAGCGGGCGTGTATACGATCTAGCATAACGGTTCACTGAAGTAGCCGCAGGGGTATGCGATCAGAGCTATGACTGCAGTCCGACGATGAAGTATGGCTACCATACATCTTGAAAATGTCAAGTTTTTTGATAGTTTTCCTTCAATTAATCACGTGACCTGGAATTATGGAAATGAGGCCAAGAGGACGTACCAGTGCACGAACGGGTTGGCGGTGGAGTCGGCAGGGTCGACAGAACCGAGGTCTTCCATGATGAGTGCCAAGCAATTTGTCCCCTCCGGCACATTGTACCATTCCACCGGGGGCGAGACATCCTTCACTGCTCCTTGGCCAACTTGAGTATACTTGCGCGGAATTCGTCCGCCATTACTGATCGCGCTACTGGTAAGAATCAATGTTCCTTCCTCAGCCATGATGTTAATGAACTCACACCACAAAAACCTCTCACAAACTAAACCCTCGCCGCCCAATTCAGGAAAACACTGCTCGGAGGACTCTCTCCCGAAAAGCAGTTCGTCGAATACCAAATTCTACAAAACAAGGCTCGATGGAATAAGCCCTTTACAACACGGTCACTCTGTCTCTCAGAATCGATCGACGCGAAGCACAAGGAGATGAGTTCCTGGGGCGTTGGTCCTCATCTTATGCCACCCATGAGTTTGGGATCCATGTCAGAGAACATTACGTGGTCCTGTGTCGAAATGACACCAGGCAGTTTTCGGATAGAAACGCAGAGATGGGCGCCACGTAACCGACATACGTGCGTAGCAGCTCTGGGTGAGCTCAACTGAATTCGACGAATGTTAACAAAGAGCTCCATCTCGGTGGGCCACGATCGGCGCGGGGGTGGAACGCACGCACTGCTCCTCTCCAATCTGGAACATCGCGGCCCCACAACGGGGTGACATACCAATCGCGACTGGATGAGTTGGTAGCCTTGCTGATTATAATATCTGGCAGAGACGGTATTTCTCCATTGAGGTTCCTTGCCTTCGGCACTCATGTTAATCCCTTCGATTTGGCGTGGTTTGTATCAGTGTCCAATCCTAAACAACTCCACATCCAAAGGTCGCTTGAAATGTTTAGTTTATGAACATGAAGGCAAAGTGAACTTTAAACTAGCTTTAGGGTTTTGTAATCGTTATTTTTGGGGTTTTTGAGTTTCGGAGATAAACACGTGTGGGTGGCCATTCATTTGGTTTCGAGTATAAATCTCTCCTTTCCGACAAGCTTCAGAACAGTTCGGACTCTGACGTGACTGTAGACCCCGTGGGGCTTCTTTGTGAATCGGAAAGTGGATACGAGGCTGGTGGAATGGGAGTTGCTGCGAAAGAACGCGATTCTGGGGACGCAGAATGGCTCTTCCATTGATGGAGATAGTCGTAGGGAAGAGATTTTAGAATAGAGTATTCAGCAAGGGAGGCCCCTCAAATGGATATAAAACTGGGGTGGGAGATTGCGGAAGATATTTTCGTTCACGTCATTCCCAACTTTGTACAATTCTCTGGCCCTTACTAATGACTTGTGACATGATTTTCCTGTAATCCAAAGTAGAGCATGCTTGGTCGAGTCTCGCGGTATAAATTCAGCTGTAGAGAATTGGACTTCCTTGCTGTGCGAATTAGTTGGTCAAGATTTCGTAGTCCTACACGACGAGCTCTCACCACATGGTCCTGGATGCTGGGCACTACATTTACCCTGTGTAGAAACGCACAAAATTTTTAGAGAATGCACCAGCGTACGATGCAAGCAATGAAGATGGAAAGGATGTCGAGGTGGATGTTAGGCGCGCGTGGACCCAGTCTGGAGACGCTGGCTTTGTTGGAAAGTACAGACACGGGATGTGGGGGGTGAAATGGTGCACCTAACACCAGACTTGTCATTGACATTTCGTTTCTATTTTAAAACCTACTGCGAATTTTAGCCCGCAGATTCCCGAATCCCTACATTCTGTGCCACTTCCAATTTGAAATCGGCTATAGCTTGGGCTTTCGGAGCTTCTTGCCCACTCTTCAGAGCGAGACAAAGTCAAGGGATATAATTCTGGGTTGAGTGACCGAGTCCCATTAGGGTGACAATGGAACGAGGCGAAAGCACGGCACGCTTTATTACGGTGTCCAGCAACTTAAACGCCAAGTTGATCTCTTCTAATTCCACCGCCATTGTGCTTGTGGTTGATTTCAACGCCCCAATACTGTCGAGGAAGATTGCTTCAGAAGCTTCTGTGGAAACAATAGCTCACTGGCCGCTAAATATACAGTTCGCGGCGGGCAGACCGTGACAAGTTCTGGAGTGGAAGCTGCTTGGTCGTTTTCTTCTGAGTTCCTTCTCGCATTTTCGCAGTTATCTTGTGTGGAAGGTTCTTGCCGACCGCTCCGTCATCTCTGAGAACTGCTAGGGGCAAACATCTCTCTGTCTTCTTCGTGACCGCCTCGAACACCCTTTTGGAACGGTTAGCTTACAAGTTTGCTGCAAAGACAATCTGGAACTTGAATCCTGGATGGGAATTGCAGGTAGGCGTTTGCTCGCGGTGGCAGTGAACATTGCGCTCAATGATTAGCTGCACGCATATTTCTGAAATAGAACATATCTTCTCCTCTATCTGCTGGAACAATCCGGATTGGTTACAAGGGACAACATGTGCACTAGCAGAACAACGCGCGAAATATCTGTAACTCGTGCACCGATGTGTCCCACTTCGCTTCTCCCCAGCCACTCGCAATTTAAGTCCCAGGGCTGTGTCTGCGATCCCAGGTGGTGTTGCTCCTGTAACTTGTTTCACATGTAACCGGACGTTGGCCAAAGAAATTATTGCACACTTAAAAGATTTAGAATCGTCTTTATATCACGCAATGTCTCTGCTGTAAATTCAATAAACACCGATTACGGTGATCACGCAGGCAGGCCTCTTTCGTCTGTCCGCAGGCTGTACAGGCGTGGTTCGACGCGGAGTGTGTTGGCAATGACGCGTGCCACCGCCTTGAACGCTGCAATCTATTTTTTACATACACGCCTTCACAATTTAGAAACTAAACTTCAGTTTCATTCGTAGATGTACAAGGTGATGAACTCTAGCATCTCATTCGTGTGTGGCGGAGATTGTGTCTAATTGTAGGTTCCGAATCCAGACATTCAGAATGTTCCATTGAAATTGTGTACGTCCGAATCGCGTGATCACGCCTTGTAAGAGTATAAATAAGAGTGCAATACTTGTCTGCACCGTTTACAAGTTAAGTGCAGGCGTAGACTAAGAGTTTAACCACAAGAGTTTAGCTAGACCATTGCTGAGAGAGGCTTGAGAACACGAATTGACACTCAAATCAGCAAGGTTCGTGTATTTAAGTGAGATTTATCTTTACGACGAAGCAAACCGACTTGAACGATGTATCACGATGTGCTTTTTTTCTGCGTCGGATGCAATGCACGTTCGAATAGAAGAAACGTTTGTGCAGACTGACTCCGTGATAACCGTGTTCTGGATCTGGGTGGTACTTTGTTTATTCCTTTGCTTCTTTCTTTTTGCAGATGTTGATGAGCTGATGGTGTGAAAATTCGACCTGATCTATTATCTTCAGAACTTTTATCTGCGAAAGCGCGCGGTTGTGTCGCAACCCACATGTAATCACTAAATTCAATACCTCGGCTGTAACTGATGTGCAGTTGATCGATCTTAGGAAAGGGCGCTTCACGCACTGGAGCGAGAACCTATCTTGTGATCGAAACCTCCTGTGCGGCCTGCTTGTATGCAACTTGTATGCAAGTCTGATTTCTGTACCACAAGCAGACACCAATTCAAACTTGAAGCGGTAGGCAGGTGCAGTCACAAGACATAGGTACAGAAGTTGCTTGATGAGCACGTGATTCTGTGGATTACGAAAAATCGGTGCAGTGTCTTGCGTAGCACGCTTTGTGGCCGTTGCCATAAGCATCTGGTAAAATCATGTCGGTTCTTCAACCGCGTGCAAGCTGTTTGGCGGTTCGTGCTACATGCAAGAGCACCACGATCTCTCTAATGTAAACGTAGATGTTTGGAATCCATATCAGGCTCACGCTGTGCGTATGCGGACTGTTAGAGCAGATTCAAGGTTAGAAGAAGTAGAACTTTTCCTAAACAGCGACATCTGTGCTTAGTAAACAAGATTACGGGGTCAATCCTCCGAAGTTCCACAACGTCTCCGTTGTGGAATAGGTTCAGATTGTTGCACATGTACTCATCATGGTTCTGGGTCCGGATTCGAGTCATGGTAGAAACGAGATCGGAAGGAGGGTGAGCAGTAGAACAAGGCACCCCTATTCTGCACAGACTCTGAGGATCAGCGCTGATAATTCCCTGGATGAATTCAAGCGCGACAGGGCCAACGTTCGGCCATATGTACGCACAAGCACGCAAAAGTTGAAGTGGACACCAGAACTTCACCAGTGTTTTATGCAAGCAATTGATCGGCTCGGCGGTCAGGACAGTAAGTAATTTTTTTGTATTTGCGTATTACAATATGTGTTCGTTTTAAGTCACCAATTAGAAGTGAGGAGCAAACACTGAACAAAAGAATGCGATACCTCGATTCGGTTATTCTTCTGTTTCATGAGCTTTTAAACAGTAATGATTCAATTGCACAGGAATTTGCTTTCTAGAACACTGCCTCTTCGACGTACCCTTAGACAACGAATTTGTGATACTTGTGGTGCAGAAGCCACACCGAAAAGAATAGTTCAACACATGAATAAGAGCGGTATTACGATCGCACACGTCAAAAGTCATCTTCAGGTCTGCATAGTCCACATTTTCTGGACATCGTTTGCTTTACTAATTTACATTTGTGTTGAATACATTGTTGAAGTATTTTGTAAGATTCAACAAAACATTCCTTTGCGTCACAACACTTTTTTATAATCTTCCTCTAAATTATTGCGCAGATGTACCGTAGCGGAAAGATCAACGCAGATGGTATTTCGAAATCTGGTAAGTTTACAGGAGTTCTCATTGTCTTCATTTGTCACAGATACCGGTCGAAGATGTTGTTTGTTCGATTCTTCCAGACCTTTGGTGACTCTGAATGTAATCTTGATTAGTGCTGATGCTGATGAAAAGTCGTACCATTTTGTGTAGCTTACAAGATATTTCAAGATGGGCGATGGCAGAGTAACAATCCCGGGCAGGAGGGACCTTCAGAAATCGGCAGGGATGCCGAACAAACCACATCGAGAGTTGAGGATGTGTCTGGAAATCTGGAATTCGAGCCAGCAGCTATGGCGCTGATTCAATTGAGGGATGGGCAAAGTTCTGATCCTGGAGCTTTCGGCTTAGATGAGCTGAGAGGCTACCCCGACGGTCAGTCTTTGCATCAATACGGGCCGAATACATTGATAGGGCAAACGCGGCAAAATTTAGAGACTCGCGAATTTGTCCCCGTCGTGGGGCCAAATGATGAACACTTGAACATCAGCGTCAACTCACCGCAAGAGCTTCGTTACGAGCACGAGCACGAGCACGACCCCAGCCAAACGTCTACTTATCGACCTGATTCCTGGCCCTCACCACTCTCCCTCGAAACTTTTCCCAGCGAGACTACCACAGATAACTCTTTAAACGCGACTTGTTCCCCTAGCGGCAGAAATAGAAAGGCTGAGGAAGCCATCGTGCTGGAGCTCACAATGGCGACCAGACCCCACCGTCCAAGGCCTCAATTCTCTGGTTCTCCTGCAGAGGCAACTTCGTTGAACATTTCGTTGGTTTAAAGCGTTTCATAGTACAGGTGAAAAATTGTAAATCAAGATATCTTCATTTGGGCTTTGGGGGAGATGATTTGACAAGTTGAACTCACCACCTTCGAGGGTTTACAGGAGAGGCCAAGTCTGGGGTTCTCGTGGAACTAATTTTTTTGTGAAACCCAAGTGTAAAACATTCTGTACAGTGCATGCAATATAGTAGTCACACTGACTAGTACTGTGTACAGTATTGTACACAATACTAGTCAGTTAAAAAAACAAAACAGAATCTAAGATATACGGGTGTAGTTGCTGTGGATATATCAGAGAAACGTTTCATTCAATGTAAACAATTTCATAATGGAAACAAATGGGTAGAAGGAAGGGCTTAGGTTCGTCGCTGGATAGCACTGGCAATTCGGTGACTACCTACCACTATCACGGGGAATCAGTAGACTATTTCTATCACAAACAAAGATATCCACATTGAAACTGCTCTGCTGCAGTAAGTTGCTTGAAGTTGACCACCTTCAACCTACACAACAACAGTAGGGTTGATGAGGTGTGCCTCGGCTTTTCCATTGTTTCATTAATCTATTGTATTGCAGTGTTAATTGACGAGAAAACTCCATCAAAATATAAACAATGGTAGATCCTCTTTTCTATTGTATTGTTATGTCTACCAAAAGATGAATTAGAACTAGTAAAAGAACAATAGGTACAGAAGTTGCTTGATTAGCGCAGTTGAAGTTGAAGTTGTTTTTATAATGAAAGAAATATTGGTTGTTGAATAAAGTCAAGAACACATGCCACTAGTAGATTTTGTATTAAAATAAATTTATGAATTATTTATTTAAGTATCTTTGAAAATATACAAATAAAACTAGTGATCATTTATGTAAATTGATAATATGTATGATTTTACTAAATTTACCCACCCCTCGTTCCCAACCCCTGCTCCTTTTGTTCCCAACCTTCATCCCAATCCCAGCTCTCAGCCTTGTCACAGTTACCAGCCCTCGTACCAACCCTTGACTGTTTTGAGAGTCTGTAGTGAATTTGGAGGTCGGAGAAGAGGGGAAGGTGCTCTAGTACAGAGAATGAAGATGACCGAGCAGGCATGTCAATCGGCCCGAACTCATCGTCCAACGGCTCCATATCGCTCAGTGCTTGTGAACACCGACTGGGAATTCGACAAGCCCATCAGGCTGGAAGCTGGTGTCCCGAAATCTCCGTATTTCTCAGACACGATTAAATTCTCAGCCTCAGCAGGCACATTAATGTGGGGTGTTAGAGAGGTCATGCCCAACGCAGCAATTGGGGTAGAACCAAGGTTGGACTATAGGAACGCGGCCACGGTTGCATTATCTGAGCACCAAAAGGTTGGAACCCGGGACATGAGTTGCTGCAGCAGCAGCAGCAAATCCTGCCCTGGTGTGCCATCGTTGTGGTTGCGTTGCAACACAAAGCCCAAAGAGTCGGTAGCAATTTGCCGGGCTGGAGCAGTGGGCTGATTGTATTCCTGCATGAATTGGTTGTAGCCTCCCTCACCAACTGCGAGAACACTTCTCAAATATTTTGAAGTATGAGAACATGTTTCCGTTCCAATTTTAAGCGATGTTTTTTTTCTTTATAAGGTCACATGGATACTTAAATGGAACAAGAAGAGATCAGGCTTGGACTTTACCATGAAGCTCTTGAGACAGTTTTCAATGATTTTATTGCTTGAAGTTGGGTGCTGTGTAATGCTTTTCAATCTCGAGCATTGTGCCTCAGATTGTATTTGTTCATACGCAAAATAGGATTGGGAAGTGTCGCGAGTTGGGCATAACATTTTTTACAACGTTGAGATAGCTCTGCTTCCGACGGGAATTTCTTCGACCAGTGTTCGGTTGCGTTTCAGTCACTTAAGTTTTGAAACAGGAAGTTGTGGCCAGTTTAGAGCCAAGGTTGATCACCGTCGAAAGAGTTTCAGCAATGGCTGTGATTTCGTAGTATGAAGAGGAAGAGCCGGTACATCCCCCTACCTCAGCACCAGTCAAGCCCCTTCAAGACGGAGGATCACAAACAATGCCTCCTGAGCATCAGACTGTTATTGAGTGCCTATTTCGAGATCGCGAATGGATTCTGGGTGGAACACAGAGTGACTGAATTTGTGACTGCGGCGAGAAGTGTAAGAGGGAGAAGATGTCGAACCAGAGAAACTTACGAAGTGCTCAGTTTCCAAGTAAAGATCGCAGAACTGCCCAGTGATTCCCCAGTTTCCATAGGATATCGACAGGAAAGAGTATCCCGACTGTTGAGACAATTGGTGAGTCAAAGGGGGAACAAGGATGGGGGCTGGGAACGGAGGGAGCGGGGCTGGGAACTAGGAGGGTCGGAATGAAGATTGGGAACGGAGGAAGCGGGGCTTGGAACGAGGGAGGTGGGTCGATTTAGTAAAACAATGGGTCACTTTAACATTCTCTATGGTAAAGTTATATTTTCTAAATTTACATGAGTGAAAAGTATTGTTTTTTAAAAAAAATTCATATTTATAAATTTTAAAGATATTTTACTATGGTCAAGATTATAAATTTATAACTTTATTAAACTAAAAAAATTATACTATTTAAAATTTGATAAAACTTGTTTCTTGTTATTCTCAATAATTCTTTAAGATATTACATATTAAATTATTCTCAAAAAAATTAATATCTCAAATATATTTATTTTATTTTAAATATAATTACATATATGTATATATTTATATATTTGTAAAATATATAAATATTTTTAATACATAATTATAATTTTAAAATCTTTTTAATTTTTAGTAAAAGATAGTATTTTAATAATTCTTTTTATACATATTTGATATAAAATTTATTCCATATTTAAAATATCATATTTATAATATATATATAAATACATCTTAAATATATTTTTTTATATATGTAAAATAGATACAATATTCTTCTACTCTTATTCTCATAGATATACATACATATTCTAGTAAATACCTATATGATTAGATACAAGTAGATAAAAGTAGATTAATTTCATAATACCTTATAGAGAAGCTTCCTAGAAACTTTATAGAGGTTGTTTTGACTTAAGATATGTTTGTAGTTGATTGATAGGCTAGAAACTTGGTCAACAAGTTAACCATGTGTTGTTAGCTTGCAGAATAAGCTAACTATATAATGCACATACAAAAAACTTGCCTTGCAAGTTAAGATACGTATTTTGTAAAGTCAACACATTTTGGAGGTTCTATACAACATTGCCACGCAGCTCCTAGTTAAGTGTATATATGGAAGCAAGAGTGAAGCCTTCTTCATTCTTGTCAATGCCTTTCTAATCCTTAATCTTGTTTCAAGACTTTCTAGTCTTCTTGTTTTTAGCAATAGCCAGTCTAGTTCAATGTCATATCATCTTTGAGTGACTTTTTAGTTCTTTCCAGTGACATAAGAGTGTATTGAGGATTTTCTTTTTTTAAGATTCATCACTTTGACTATTTGACAATAATGCTAATAAACTATTTTTGACTTGTTTTAGAAGTGAGTGGATTATCCCACTTCTATTGTTGTATTTTAAAGGTTGCAAACTACTATGAGCCCAAATTCCACTACTTGATGAAATTAATGCTACATAACAAATTTAGAAAGTAGAATAGAAGATCTCTTAATTGTGTAATTACTAAATTAATTTAAATCTTGATATTTGTAGTTTAATTAACTTTAAGCCTTCAAAACAATGATTACTAATATTAATAAAAATATTTAACAAAATTTATTATGGTTTTTTTAGGCTATTTGGATGATCTCTATTTAAATCTCAATGATTTGTTTAAGATGATTTATATGGTCCTTAACTACTAATTTTTATGTGATTATAATTTATAATTAATTAGAATAAATAAATAATTAATTAGTTAAAACTTATAAATTATTACTCTTTGAATAATTGATAGTAAAAATAATTGATTAAGTTATTACCATTAATCTTTAATAAAAATAATTTTTTAAAGATTAAGTTAAAAGTAAAAATTAAAAATAAAAGAAAGAAGCTTAAAGATTAAAAATAAAAGTTAAAAGTAAGTAAAAGAAGATTAAAGGTTAAAAGTTAAAAATTAAAAAAATAAAAGTTACAAATTATTGAAAGAAAAAAAGTAAAAGTAGAACTAAGAGAGATAAAAGCAAAGGTAAAATTGATAATACCCAAGAATTAAGAGTATCAAACCTTTTCTACTTCAAAATTTTTCAAAAAATTTCATTAGCTTTAAATTGAATTATTTTTAATTTTTTTCAAATTTAATTTAAAGGCGCTCCTGCTCCAAAAAAATTAAATTCAATCCAATATCTAAGCCACAAGAAATACTCCTTCAAAGTTGAATGACTAAGACTGCCACTGCAGGCAACCTCCCTCCACTTGGAAATTAACCAAAAATTCATTTCATCTTCAAATTCAAAACAATTTATGTCATTAGAAGCTCAGCTTGAAGTTTCACTTACTTACAAAATTTCAAAATAATCCAATTAGGAGGCAGTGAGAAACTCCTTTCTAAAGGTGAATGATTTAAGCTACCAAGGCAGGCAACCCCCATGCACCCAAAATTCTACCAAAATTTCGCCCTTACTCCAAATCAAGCGACCCTTATCTTGGAAAGCTAATACCAAAATCTACAACCATAAAATATTTCATGTCAAAACTCAAAAAATAGAATGACTAATTAATAGAAATCGGAGGCTCTTGAAACCTTTGGAGTATTTGAAAAGCCGAGGGAGCTATCTATTACAATGACCTATGTCTTAAAATCCAATGACCATCATTTACTACTCAAGATCCATGCACATACAACCACAAAGTTCAAAATGAGATTACAAATCAAAAATGAAATTAAGATTAGAATTTAGGACCAAAATTTGGTATAGCTTTGTCTTTCACCAAAAGAGAAGAGAGAGAGGGCTTGGAGAACCAAGCCAATCTTATACAATTGAGTGGTGGCTTGTGAGAGGGCGGCCACATCTCCACCTTTGATTTCTAAGATCACTAATGTAGATCTACAGCCTTCATTCATCCAAAAGCCGATTTCGTTATCAAGGTTGATGGCTCTTGTAAGTAGTCAAGAAATCATTTTTTGGTAAATCTAACTTCACCATTGTGTTCAAAACACCTTTATATACTAAGATCGACTACTTACATGCATCAATCCATGCTCAATAGTAATTTTTATAAAAGTTTTTACCTATAAGGATCTTGACAATTCTTATAAAATCCTTCAAAATGAAAATTTCATTGTTCCACTTGTATTTTGAAGGAAAAGGTGCTGATCTTGTTTTCTTCACTCTACGAGGTGAATTTGGTGCCACCATTGCATTAAAAAGGCTTCTATTAATTAAAAGAACTACTATGCTCCTTAAATTTATTGAATTTGGAGGAAATCTTAAAATTATTATTGCTAAATTTCACTAGATCTTTTAGAAAATTATAATTCTAATTCATTCTAAGTCATATGAAATGATTGTAGGTGAATTCATAGGCTTTTAATCAACCTTCATAGTAGTGACTAACAACCTCTAAATTATTAAAACTAATTAAGTTGCTATTGTAATTTTCTAACTCTTATCACTTTA